GACTATCGTTTTCAGTTATTTTGAAAGTTTCATTTGCAGTTGCTCTCTCATGAAGAGATTCACAAAATAAATACTCTTCAGCAATTAGTTTATCTTCTTCAAAACATGTAAATTAATAATTGAACAAAGTTTGTTATAACAGTACTTTTATTCATTTGCAATATTCACTGTGTTTAATTTTTTGGAATAAGTGTCTCTTTTATGGAATTTGCCATTTCATGAATTTGTAGACTTACTGTATCATTTGATAATGGAATATTATTAAGTTCATTATCTACTTTTTCATTGAATAACATTAAAACGATATCTTTAGCTGCTAGTAATATAAGGTTTTCTCTAACGTATGAGCGTGCTCAATTTTGGTAATTCTTTGGCTTATTAAATAACTAGCTTCCAAAGCTTTTTCACTTAACAAAACCTTTCATTACTTGTTTTTTTTTGGTTTGTTGTTTTTTTTAACTTCGATAAATTTCTCTTAAAATATTCTTCAGATTTATCCTTTAAATTGACATGTTTAGATTCAGGATGTTGTGGTATTTAATTTTTGTATACAATAGTTAAAAATGCCCACCAGCGCCCGAGCGGTAACGTCGCTGAACACTGGTAGTTCGGTCCGAGGTTTGAATCCCACAAACGGGCTGGCTGCATTGGCATTTTCGTGGTTTTCCTCATGTGTAACGTGTATACGAGCCAGTTTCCCTTAGAAAGTCCTCCACGAAGGCATCCCTCCCTTAAGAAGAAGTCCAGTCTCTCTTCGGAGTAGGCTCTGGCAAACATTATTCCATGTAATATGGACAAGACAACAACAACAATAGTTAAAAATACTTTGTTCCTTTGTGTACCACTGGTTGAGAACTCCTGATTTAGTCTGTTTTATATCCCTTATGATATATAATGAGACAGAAATATGATGATTGTGTTGGGCACTGTGTTTACTAAGACTTTTGTAATGATGGATATAGAAGTGCTATATGTAAGAAGCATGGGAACAGTGTAATTAAATTATTGGGAGATATCCTTATCAAATAAGCAGATTACTGTGCATAGATTTATCTATATTTCTTTGCTTTGGTACAGAAGATTGAAATTGCTGTTTATTATGATTAATGTAGAAAACTTATGATAGTATGCTTGATTTCTAAAAACTGGAAAACCATTGTCTACCACACCATTCTTTAAGAATATTAAAACTTTTAAGATTACACTTTTCTACAATAACTGGAAAGCGGTTGCTGATTGCCATTTTCATAAAAGCAGAAATCCTCTTAAAATTTCTTGCATTAATGGAAAATAAATACTAAATGTTATTTTGCATTTTCAAAAATTGAAAATCTTCTAATTTTTTATTAAATTTAATAGATATTAAAACAAGTCTGTCATAAAAGCAGAGTGGTGTAAACATTACGACACCACGTCACACAAAACTTGTATATACAAACAAAAGAATTTGCACACAAATTATTTACAAGGGTCCAGCAATGTAAAGTAGCTTTCTTAAAGCAGATGATATCTGATGTTAACTAGCTGGACCCTTGTAAATAATTTGTGTGCAAATTCTTTTGTTTGCGTATGCAAGTTTTGTATGACATGGTGTTGTAATGTTTCCTCGTTGTGGGTGAAGAGATGTCTTGCGTTCAGAATGCTTCACATTGAAACTGCTAATCTCTTTAAGTTTTCCATTTTAGAAAAATAATCTGCCTGAAACAAATTATAAAATCAGCTTTAATAAAAACACATTTGCTTATTTTACTGTGTTTGTTTATAGAAAATTAAGTACATGTTTATTATGTAAATATTGGAACTACTGCAATTTGTATCCCTGAAAAACAAGTTGCAAAATTTGATGGAAAAGAAAATGAAAATTATAGCCATTAATTCGTAGTTGTTAAAATAATGCTTTTTTTGCATTTTATATTTTTTCATAGCATGCTACATTTACAAATGATACAAAAACTATAATTTTTGGTTCATATTCAGATTAAATATTGTACGTACTGAAAGAATTTTTGATAAGTTATTTGATATCATCTTTAGAAATAATAACAAAGTTGGATATTCTAAGAGAAACTAAAAGGCAACTTTATATTTATTAAAAGAATGTATCTAATTTATTTGCCTACCAGCAGGCAAGCACTAAAGTGGCTGAACACATAATTTGATCCAGGTTCAAATCCTGGTGAATGGGCTGGCTGCATGAGAGTTTGTGTGCTTTTTGCCATGTGTAATGTGGATACAAACCAATTTGTCTTAAAATGCCCTCTATGAAAGGATTTCTCTTCATATGCAGATGGCCCTTGAATTGCTTTGCCTTAATCATTTAACCTAAACTAACCTAATGTAACATTAAAAGAAAAATTATCCTTTACTCCTTTATTGTGTGTATGAGTACTTCTGTGTTAAAGCAGCCACTGCACTTAATTTCCAAATTTGGCAAGCTAAATTGCCTAGTCTGACCTCTTACTGTTCTTTATAGTCTGACCTGTTAGGTATACAAAAAATGGGACAGTTCTATTATCTCCTGCTATACTGAACCAGTTGTCGAAATTTAACTTCCGTTCCATGTCTCGAAAGTGCAACTTAGAATGTATATTAGATTTATATATAGCATTATTCTAACATGGGCATTTTGACACAAAATCGGACCTTTTCTGAAATAACATACTAATTTTTTTCCATATTTTGATTCCATGACTCAAATTATGCCTAGATATTAAAATTTTGTAATTTTTGGTGAGAAATTAAAAAATTTATCTTGCCGCATATTTTTCAGTTTGCACCAATAATAATTCACTTGGCAAACTTCTTAGTTTTATAGCAACCTCTTTTCCTTTCCTTTTTTTCATTGTACCCAAGCGGAAAAAAGGTCATCCTTCATATTTTCAAATAATTTTAACAAAGTGCGTAAACCACATTTGGCGTTATTATCGCTTATAACGAATATGCCAAATTTCAAAATGTAAATTCACACATATATCTTAGGAAATTTTGAATAAAAAAACTCTTATTTTTGCAGCTTAATTTTTTGCTTAGAAATGCATCTACTTTAACCCTCCGAGCGTTACGAGTTTAGCCCTAAAATTTCAAAGTTCCTCAAAAATGTCATGAATAAGTGGTATTTTCTTGATTTTAATTAAAAAATGAATCTCTCATTTTGTACCTTGATTCCTTTTCTTCCAATATACATCCAAACCCAAATCAAATACATTAAAAGCTAGCAGAAATTTTCATTTGTAATGAATATAGAAGGCAGTCTTCTATACGGAATTTTTCCTGCCGTAGCGCTAATAGGGTTAAGATGATGGTAAAAATTTTATAGGTTATAATTCAAAATTTTTTCCAAAAAATTTATAAAAATGATTTAAAAATACAAATTTTAAAAAAAATCATAAAAAATGGGCAAATTTTATTTGGAATGAACCTAAATTTCAAAATGTCAAAGAACCAAATAAGTTTAATGGAAAAAAAAAGATATTAATATATCAAATTCAATTAACATGGAGGAGATAAAACTTTGAGAGCTAATTTTTTAAAAACTACTCATGTGATTTTTACAAAATTTGGCGCTTTGGCATAATTTGAGTCATAAAATTGAAATGTGGAAAAAAAAATTGGTAAAAAGTCCGATTTGTGTCAAAATACCTGTGTTAGAAGAATACTTATCTATAAATCTAATATATATCCTGAGTCACAGTTTCAAGACATGGAAAACAGAAGTTAAATTTCGACAATCGGTCAAGTAGATTGGGAGATATAGAACTGTCCCACTTTTTTTTGTGCAAGGTGTACATACTATCTTTTATAGTATTCTTTTTTTATTTTAAAATATAACTCTTTATCATTTTTTTCTGCTGTGCTTTTTAATTATTAGAGTGGCAAATAAAGCTAATAAAGATTCTGTTGAATTTGAGTTAAAATAATTCTCTGAGTAACGATTATTGAGAGAGTTAAAGTAACAAGAATCAGCATAATATTCATAAATTTGCAGGTCTGTTTAAATACAGAAATGCACTCTTCAGATGTAGAAGTGCAAATGAAGTCCCTTTGCCCTTCTGCAGTTGAAGAAGGTTCTACAGTTAAACCTTTGAAACTGGTCTTACAAATTTATGAATATTATGCCGATTGTTGTTGCTTGTCTAATAATAGTATTGCGTGCCTACGGATTCGTAATAGATTCAATGCACAAGTCTGATAAAAAGTTACTGATTTTTTTTTTCACAGGAAATATAACAAAATGCAGGATTTTTCCTCAAAGATATTCGTAGAAAATCATGCAATATAATCAGTAGCTGTATTTTAAACTACTAAAACATTAAAAAGAACACAATCAACAGCACAGAGAAAGCTAATCCAATCTCACCGCAAATTTGCTACAATCAACAAACAACAGTTATCTAAACAGACTGAGATGTTTCTATCCAGCTTTTAAAATCGGCCGCACAAGGCAATTCTAGCAATTTCTGGAAAGCAAAAAGTGTAGAATTATGATCACGGCTAACACAGCAGTCAATTACATTTATCCAGTTTAAATATAAATTGCGAGATATCTATTTATTAAATGCTCTTATACCAAATATTTGTTAATTTAATATGTTGTTAATTGTTTGGTATATTAATTAATGTTGTTTGGTAAATTTGGTTGTTAATTGTTTGGTATATATGTCTCCTCCATGTTAATTGAATTTGGTATATTTTGTGCTCCTGTATTTTTACTTTTTCAGTGTAGCTTTTTCTTAAAACTCTTCACATGCTGCGTTGCACGGAGAAATAAAACAATTTTAATTACAATTATACTAAAAATAGCCAACTAAATACAAAATCCATAACAATAGGATTTTGCTGTCTGAGATCTTTTTCATACTTGTTTCTTTTATAATGTGTGCCACCTTTTTTAAAAATAATTTTCATTTATAAATAACCACCTTCCATTTTCCAAGTCATTAATTTTTGTCATATCTGTTATCTGGAATATTTAAATCTTAATTTTTTAAATTTTTTTCCAGAATCTGTTTGTGAACAGTTAGATGGTTATGAATGAGTGACAACTGCAAATCATGAGCATAAAATTTATTAGAGCTAAATGTTCATTATGTAAAGAAAAAATATGTATTGGAATCAAACCATTTAAATTATTTTTGTTTTGCAAGGTTAGTTATCAGAGTTGACAATATTCAATCCTTTGCCAGCATGTTTTTTAACCGAGCTCAGAACTTTTGCTCAGGCAGCAGATCAGAGCCAGTAAACCGAGCACCTACTTGTGGAAGAAGTGAAAATCCTTCCGAAGGGCACAAATTGTGCGACAAGGAACACGAACAACAAATAGATAATTCTAGCACAGTACTGGAAAAAATAGCAAGTTTATATGCTGAACGCCTTCTCAGTGACATTACGTTAGAAGTTGGAGGAAAGCAGTTTGCTGCACATCGCCTTATTCTTTGTGCTTCCAGTGATGTATTTCAGGTTTGTAAATTGATTTACATTTTAAAAATAAAGCTTTATTAAATGTTATAACTTTATTTTTTTAATATGTAAATTTAAGATTATTATGCAGTGATGATGATTCAAGTTTTACATTAATGGATCTTATAAATGAAACCTAAATTTATATGAAAGTTTGCTTTGCATTAACTATGTTTTCTTCAAGTGTTTATTCTTGGTATGCTTATTTAAATTTTATGGAGTAAATTAAAACATTTATTTATAATTCTGATATAGTGGCATTATAATTTAGATTAAAAAATCACATTGAACTGTGATATCCTAGTCATCAAAGTAATCAAGACAAATGTTATCAATTGTTGTATCCCTCTAATTGTAGCAATAAAAAAGTAGCATTTCCGTGGCTTATCTAAATCCAGCTGATGGCTATAAATGTATGACCATGTAGCTTTTATTGAGAAACTTAAGCTTATTTCCATGTTAAAATTACTAATATGCATTTGTTACATTTTTATGAAACTTAATACAGTAGTATCGTAGAAGCTTTGCCTAATGTGGACTGAAAAGTTGATAAGTTACTGAAAATGTCAAGTTTTATAAAATAAACGGGAGGGGTATTCACAGCTGATAATATTTCAGATACTTATCCCGTCAGTATTCAGTATTATTTCGTCAATCATGAAACCAGGCAGCGTGATTTAGTGCTAGTTATGGATAAGAGTAATAATATACTCATAACATTTGCACTTTTGTTTGATGAAACCGGATTGATTCTCCATAAAAAACATTTTGTTTTTATGAACAAAAATAAAAATTAATTGTTATTGCAGTATTCCTCCACCATTTTGAAAAATTAAAACTTGGGACCTGTCTTCCATTCCTGATTATTTTCAAAGTTATGGGATCCTACCATAAAAAAAAGATGTGTATTAACGAACATGATTTGGTCTGCTAAATATGGTTGACAAAACACTAATAGGTGGGAATAATTACTAAAATGGTAGAAATCACAGTCTACGAAGCGCAGAAAAAAGTGGTTCGAATACTGATTGTTTAAGTAAAGACAGTCCTTAAGAGTCCTTAAAAGTCCTTAGATTTTTTGGAATTGATTTTTGGTCCTTAAAAGTCATTAATTTTGGCCAAAGTCAGAAGGTCCTTAATTTTAATTATCTGAAATTTCTGTTTGTTTTTATGACTACCATTTTGAGTGTGAATTAGCATTATCGAGGAATATTTTTGGTGATTCACAGACGTATATATGGTTATCTTTTGAATGGGTTCATGAGTTGTAATAAATGGTGGGATACTCGAGTTTCTCAGCAAGAAGTGAAACATAAGCATTTTGAAGTTCATTTTTTCTAATAAAGAGCTCTTGAACAACTTTTCGCATTTGGGGATGTGAATTCTTTTATTAAACGGTTCTAAATTTGACGATTTTAAGATCAGTTTCTAGAAAAACTTTTTAATTCCGAGATCTGAGAATTTTTCGACGATTTTTTTAAAACATCATAACATTGATTAATTCGTTAAAATAATGGTAATATATTGAAATTACATTTGAAAAATAACATTAAAATAAAACATTTTTATTTTTTGCTGTCATATTACAAAGTTTCATTTTGGCAACTTATACAATATTCTGAATCTGAAAAATAAACAAGGTATAATGCTATAAAGTACAATTTACGAAACAGCTCTTAGCAAAAGCAAAATTAGCTATGTAATTAATTAAAAATGTCTTTTTAATTTTTTCATAGTAAGAGTTTTTCCTATGTAATTGATTGTCTCAGAATATTCAAAATTCTCAGAATATGCATCTGTTTTCTCTATAAAATTAATTTTACACTTTTTCCTCCTTTTTTTCCCAAAAAATTTCTGGCTTTTTGCTGTTACGAAATTGGTAGGGATAATTTTTCTTTAGGATTTTAGACATTGCAGCGTGTAAAATATAGAAGGATTTGAAGGCAAGATACATAGACACATGATTCTAGAAGATTCAAGAAATAGGTGACAAAATGAAAAAATATCTCTATGGTATCAACACGTAATGGATGTATTTTACGGAAAGTTTACAATGAATTACTTTTTGGAGAATCTTTGGAACAACAATGAAAACATAAGATTTGAATGTTCTTCTTATAGTACTAGAATCTTAACATATTTATCTTCCCTTTATTTTCCCTACTTTTCACTAGACACGAGCATGGAAAATATCAAAAATGCTTCTAATCTTATCACATGGGCAGGCATTATAGAAAGGGATTTTTTTATTAATAAAGAAATTGAAAACTTGCAATTTAAAAGATTCATCTAATATGTCTTAATGCATCATACAAAAATATCTGACACTAGGCATTTTCCCCACCTGATACACAATCTCTGTGGATTCTAAATTCTGCTGCCTAGTGCTTTCTAAATTCTGCTTCCAATGCCTAGTCTAAAGTCTAAAAGTTTTGCCATTTCTAGATTTTGCTGTTCGGTGTGTCACTTAATTCTAAAAATTCTGCCACATCAGCTCTGTAACCGGCCTTTCACATTTCTTCTGAATGTTCATATTACTAAAATAAAATCAGCTGCTTTTCTGAACATTCTAAATGCATTTAGTGTTTTTTAGAATAACAGAAACCCTTACTTAAATTAAAAAATTCTAAAATGAAAAGGAAACATGTTGAAGAAAGAAACTGAGTACATAAAGGAAATTATTCTTCAAAGATATATTCAGTTATTATTATGTAAATTACCCAATTGTTTATGATTTCAGCTTTTACTATAATTTCCCATTGCTGTTTCCTCATATGATAGAGTTACTGAGCCAGATTAAATTAAAATTAAATTGTATAACCTTTGACCACTAGTCCACATTATTAGTTTGAATTTGACTGTTCTTGTTTTATTACATCACCGTGAGCTGTAATTGATTTTGTTAGCATCAGAACATTCCTTTATGTTCTAAGTTCTTTTTAAATATGAGGCTTATTTAAACCTTTTTCTGCTATTGTAGTTACTTTCAGACAGCAATAATATGCTTCACATCTGTCGTGGGTTTTTGACTATATAACTTTTACCAGATCAAGTAAATCCTCATAGGTACATTGTGGAGAGGTTGACTAGTTAGAAGATAATAAAGCACGCAGAAACTAGCGAGAGTATTGGTTTGCATATTGAGATAAATCTCTGATTGTTAGAAAAGATGCTTAACGAAAAGGAAATCGATATAAACTAGCCAAAATGTCTGGAAAGGCTTCCAATTTTAATGACGGATAAATATTTTTTTGAGTATGTTGTTACAAAACATAAATGTTTTGTAGCTTTTAATGTGTAATTATCCTAATATCGTTTAAGAATCAATTTCATAAATTACATGTATTTTAAACTGTGAAATTTTATTAGATTTTGATTTTAATAGGGCTTTTCAACAAATATTGTTAAAAAATAAAATTTAATAGTGGTCATGTAAATCCATAATGACTAAGGTTATCAAACTAAAAACTTTGGTGTTAAAAAACCTAATTTAATTATTTATAATTAACTGCATATCCTTAAAAATTATCTCTACATATTAAAGCGAGTTATTGCTTTTCAATAATACAGTAAGACCCCGCTTAACGCGGGGGATACGTTCCATCGAAGTAGAGCGTAATGTGAAACAGCGCTAAGCAAGGCTATCTTAACATGTAAATAATGGGGTTAGGAGAAGACGGATAAAAAATGGTTAGGCATTAAATTTAATAATGTTTTTTTAATAAAAATAAAATCAAACATTTATTTCGTACAAAAATAAAAACAGTATAAACGCATATACTTTTAAAACAAATAAAATTCTCAGTCAGATCGTTCAGTCTATTCTGGGTTTCCAATTTTCTGCCTTTTTGTCAAGAAGGCATTATGATAGATTGGCTTAATGGCATATTGCGTTCAGTTTCGTCGTCAATCCATATAGACAGTCGTTTTCCCATTTCCTCTATAATGTTATTTCTAGAACGGGTAATTCTAGTTGCAGAGCTTGACGTAGTTGCAGTTGCCGATGACAGTATTTTTTCTTTATTCTTAAGAATTGTCCTTATTGTTGAAGTTGCCAAAATCAATGCAGCACTAATTTGAGATTGACGTTCACCAGAATCTAATCTTCTAATCACTTGCATTTGAGTTTCCAGTGAAATGCTTTTTCTGGTTGCTTTCTTTTCTTGTTTTTTTTATTATCACCCATGATAAAAACTAAAGATCATAATATTTGTTCACTGTATTAATCGTTATAGTAATATATACCAATTTAAAACTTACAATAATGTCAACGAATGTTTCAAATGATAAAAATGCGTCTGTACAAAGCAACCAAACAAGAACAACACTGTTTCGGATATGTTATTTGGAAACCTAGCGCTGCGCACAATTTCGGAGAATCCCCGTGTTGAAATAAAAGAGCACTAAACCGAAAAAGCGGTAAACGAAACAGCGTTAAGCGGGGTCTTACTGTACTCACTGTGGTCACAGGATAAAATACAAAAATGTAAAAATTCAAGTAAAACTTATTCTTTGTATCTACTGAGACTTAAAATAATGCAAAACAACTTATCACCTCTGGTGCTTTAATGCCTTATTGGAACCTTAAAGTATATTGTTGCGTGTGTACGGGTTAATTTGAACTGAATGCACAAGTCCGATGAAAAATGAACAACAATTTATTATTATCACAACAAAAGTGCTTAATTTTCCTTAGATATTCATTCAGTATTACAGTTTCTCACAGTAGTTATCTTTTAACTACTGAAATGTTCAAGAGAACGTAATTCAAAACAGCTGGAGAAAGCTAATCCGTGAATTCGTCACAGTCAACAAGAGCAGTTTTCTGTTCAAACTCTTGAAACAACAACAAACAAACTAAAATCACCAAACTGAGAGGTTTTCCTCCTTTTATAAGATTTTAAATTGCGCGCGAGAATTTTCTGGAACTTTTTCGAAATCAAAAAGAGATATTTATTAAATGTTAAATGCACGTGCTCTTGTATTTTTAATTTTCCGGCTTATCTTTCCTTTAATATTCATCACGCCCTGCATGCACGAGAGAATAAAATAATTTAATTTATAATTCAACTAACATTAGCTATTTAAATACCAAATTTGTAACACTGCCCCCTTCCCAAGGACTGCACGTCCCGGGCAGTACAGTCCCTGGAGAGGAAGCCAAACTTACAGCTAAGGCATAAATCCAATACTAAGCATTACATTACAATAACAAACAACATGAAGAATAAATGTAATAACTAATTTTAAACAAATCAAATGCTATCAAATACTAAATACAAATCAAATACAAAATACAAAACAAATACTAAATACACATTTAGAAACAAAAAGGACCATGGTTTTACACTATTTACAATTGTATACACTACGTACTATGGCCATAGTAATGAGCTAACCTGTTGTAATGAACGACTTTAGGTTTAGAGTTTGCAGACTTACGGATCCGAACCATGACGTCATTCAGTCTGTTCAGGACTGTATAGGATTATCCGAAGGTGACTGTAGTTTAGGCCTGACTCCTTTTCGTCGAATCGGGTTCCACAACTACACCTTGTCTCTTTCGTTACTCTGTGTCCAATAGCTCTCTTGTTGTATCTGATCTTCACTCTCTCCGTCTGCAAGTTCACTCACTTGATCAATCACTTGCGGAATGGTGCTTCACTTCAAACTGGGCCTGAACATCTTGGATGTATTCCTCAGGCATCCGTAGGGTGACGAAGGTCTCGACCTAAGAGCATCTGGGATGGAGAATAACCGGTAGTCTGATGTTCTCTCCGACCCTAGTATGATCTCGGCAGCTTCCCAAGCTGGGTCTTTCGGACGAGACGTCGGCATTTCCAGGTGAGGATCCCTTCTGAGGATGGATAGTCATGTCTTCAGATGCTGAAAGCAGTTTGTTATTTTTGAATTCTAAGGAAAAATTGTATTTCCTTAAAAAGTCCAGTCTGAGTATGCATGGATCTGTAATATCCGCCACATATGCCGTGTCATGGTAGGCGGCACTTCCAAACGTAATGTTTCAGTTTAACTTCCCAGCGATATGATTTAAGCTATGACGCTTGTCACCACGATCACCAGTCTGAAGGGTAACACAGGGATGGCGTCCAAATAAGTTTATCTTTAAACTGTTCAGCTAAATCTTCCTAATGATGGTAACATTAGCTCCTGTGTCAATGATCCATATTGCAAGGAACTCCATCGATATGCCCATTGATGGACATCGATGTGACCGTTACTGTTGCCACTCACTGTAGAAATCTTGAGTGCTTTAAAACAGAGTTTTTCATTATCTGGCAACCTCCGTTCCTTGATATGGTCATTAATTTGTTTCCTGCGTTGTTGCTGAGAAATGGTCTCAATTTTCGTACCCTGGGGTGATCTGCAATTCTTTTGTATGTGGCTTTCAGCTCCACAGTTTCAACACTTTAGTTTCTTGTCAATCCTTTTCCGTCGCATGGCATTTAATTGTCTGTTTAACCCAGCTCTCTTATTTTCCGTGCTCTGGGGTGTTCTGCAGTTCCTTCGTATGTGGCCTTCAACACCGCAGTTCCAGCACTTTAGGGTTGGTTTCTTCTCACCAGTATTCTGTCTCAAGGCATTCACTGGTCTTATCAAATCATCCATTTTATTATCTGTGCCCTGGGGTGTTCTGCAATGCCTTTATATGTGCCCTTCAATACCACATTTCCAACACCTTAGAGCCGCTTTGTTCTCACTCCTACTCTGTATCAAAGCATTGACTTATGTGGCTAAATCATCTAAACAAGCCATCAGTTGATCCATTGGCTCGTCGACTCGCACAGCTCTGACTGGGTAACGATCTCTACGAGTTGTTTGCTGAGCTGTCTTGAATTTCATGGCGTACAACAAAGCGTTTTTATATCCTTCACATCCGCCATTCGCAGAGCTTTCTGTATTTTGGGATCCCGGATGCTGTCGACGAAGTATTGCAGGGACAGGATTTCCCTTGTTTCTGTCAAGCACTCCGAAAAGACGTGATGTGACAGCCTTTCAACATCTGTGCCGAGCTCCTGAAGTGTTTCGGTGGGCTTCTGTTGACAGGATTTTAGTTGAAGCCTGCTGTGGTCTTTTAAACACTTCTCCCCAAAGCGCAGCTCCAAAGCGACGGACAGAGCTTCAAAATCTAACCTTTTGTTTTTGGAAAGAGTCTGCAGGAAATCCGCCGCGTCTGCTCTTAAAGAAGCGGCGAGATGACAGGCCTTAGCTTGGGAATCCCATCCATTCGCATCCACCACTATAGAAAATTGTGTCTTATACACCTGCCAGGAGGTCGTCCCATCATATGCAGATAGTTTCAGAACAGGACAAGCAGGCATTGGCAAAAATTTAAAACTATCCGAATTGCTTCCTGCCGTCGCCATGATCTTCTTTATCGCAACAATACTATTTCTATCGCAACTGCTGAAACTCTATCATCAATTTGTTGTTTGACGGCAGAAACTCTTTCTTCAATTTTTTGCTCCACCGCAGAAACTCTTTCTTGAATTTCGCCAACTTTGTCTTCAACTGTATCTATTCTTCCTTCCATAGCCTCGAACTTGTTTTCTATTATGCAGGTAATTTTTCTTTTCATTTCCTCTTGACCTGCTTCAATCTTTTCCTGAACAGCCTTTATCTCGTCCTTAACTGTTTTCATTTCTGCTTTAACAGATTCCTGTCCTGATTTCATGTCTTCTTTAACGGATCCAATATCTTCTTTAACAGAGTCTTTCATCTCTTCTTTAAATGTAGCAAAGGCTGCCATGAATTGCCTTAACTGTTCTTCGATCGCTCTAGTAATTGGCATTCAAATCCCACTTCTGACACCAAAAATTGTTTGCGTGCATACGGGTTCATTTGAATTGAATGCACAAGTCCGATGAAAATTGAACAATTTATTATTATCACAACTAAAATGCTTAACTTTCCTCAGACATTTGTTCAGTACTACAATATCTCACAGTAGTTATCTTTTAACTACTCAAAAGTTCAAGAGAACGTAATTCAAAAACAGCTAGAGAAAGCTAATCCGCGAATTCGCTACAGTCAACAAGAGCAGTTTTCTAAACAAACTCTTAAAACAACAAACAAAAATCACCAAATTGAGAGGTTTTTCCTCCTTTTATAAGATTTTAAATCTCGCGCGAGAATTTTCTGGAACTTTCTCGAAATCAAAAAGAGATATTTATTTATTAAATGTTAAATGCACGTGCTTTTGTATTTTTAATTTTCCGGGCTTTCCTTTAATATTCATCACGCGCTGCACTGCACGGAGAAATAAAACAATTTAATTTATAATTCAACTAACATTAGCTATTTATATACCAAATTCGTAACAATATTAACTGGGTTACAACTCCTCGAACTCTACACAAAACTAGATTATTTTTACAGTTACTTTACAGTAACCAACGTTACACTGAATGCTATGCCACCACAGTTATCTTGGCACTTACCATAGCTTCTGGCTTCAGATGATCTACAAGTACCTCTAAAATTTTTAATTTCAATAAATATTTTATGACATTTTTAGATTGATTATTCCTTTATTTTATTTATTTGCTATTGATGTTTTTCCCCTATTAATAATTATGCATATTAATTTAGAAAAATACTTTTCATATTTTTTCCACGTTCATGTATGGGTTCTTCAGAACACACACTTTAACAGGAAAAACATGGGGTATAGATTTGAATATATTTGTAACAGTAAATTTACTGTTACAAATATATTCAAGTAATTTGTAACAGTATTACACAATACAAGTAATTTGTAACAGTAATTTAATTACTTGCTTTTAATTTAATTTCTTTTTACAATTTAAATTTTGTTGTTCATGATTTAATTCAAGTCCTTGTTAAACATTTTTAACAATTTACATTCAAGTTACTTTAAAACAATTTTCAGAATTAAACGTACTAACTATGGATTCACTCATTTTAGATAATTCTACTAAAATTAATCTTAGGGGATAATATAATCAATATTTCTTTTGTAACAGTAGTATATACTGTTACAAATACTGTGCCTGAATGATATAAGAAATTATGTGTGATTATAGACAAACTTCATCTTTAAAATGACTTTTCTAGAAATTCATCAATCTTGAAATTCAGATCTTGTTCTTTGAAAAGTTCTTGGATTATGCTGTTTTGTACAGTTAAAATTGAATTTTATTTGTTAATGAATGTGGTAAAATTTTATTATTCAATCAATATTGAGTGATATTTCATAAAACATACTATAATAAATGAATTACTCATTCTAATTATAAATAATTCATTTACAGGTAATGCTAATGAATCCAAACTGGAGTGAGTCACAAGAAACAAAAATATGTTTACAAGAAGATCCTGCTTGTGTTCTTGTATTCCCAGATTTTTTGAAATACTTATATACTGGAAAACTGCATATAAACCATTTTCTGGTCTTACCTTTAGTAACTTTAGCAGACAAATACAATGTTAAAGATTTGGTTCACCTTTGTGTAGATTATATGTGCCGCCATGTTGTTTCTGCAACTCGCCATAATCAGCTGGTGAGTTCTTTATATTGTATTGCCAAAGTAAAGTATAATCTCCCCCTCCCAAAATATATGTATATAATTACACATACTTAAAGTGAAAGTGCTCATGCAGTATTTTTAGAATAATGTTTTGTCTGCTGTAGCAAGCATAAAAAACTTGATTAACCCTCGGAGCGGCTCAGGTTTTTGGATCTGTCAAGGAGACGTATATTCAAAGAGCCTTTATTAGCTAAATTTGTATATTTACGTACTTAAGGCTCTATTTTCATAAACACATTTATTAAGATGACATTTATATTATTAAAGAAAGCAAACTATCGTAAATTGTAAGCTAATATAATATTATACCAAGTATTATGACTGGATAAAGCCGGCCATGAAGTTCAGAGGGTTATTATACCATGGGAAGAAAAATTTACAACATAATATCCATTTTTAATTAAATTGTTTTTCTAAAAAATACTTAAATATTATCTCTTTGCTGAAAATGTTGCTACTGTCGATTGATTATTTTGCATCGTTTACATACTCAACTACATAGTGCAAAGGATTTCCAGCAGCACTTTGTTTAGTTTTCCTGGTAAAAGTTATATACAGGGTTGCCACGCTACTGGGAGAACCGGAAAAAGTCAGGGAATTCGAAAATTGACCAAAAAAGTCAGGAAAATTGAGTATTTTTGTCAAAATCTGGAAAAGTCAGGGAATTTCATACAACGATCCCGCCAAAAAAAGCGATTTTTGCGCCGACGTCGGAAGAGATAACTTTTTTGGCAAATTGTGTATCACGTGAGTGTCATTCGGGCAGCTGGCATAGAGCGAATTTTCGCAGCTCCACTTTGATTGTCTTTTAGAAAGGCAAAGCAAATTTCCCACAACCTTTAGTTTCCAGTATTCTCAGGAATCACATGTGCAGTGCATGAACTAAAGAAAGTACCTGCTCTCGTATAAAACAAAATAGGGTTAATTCTAGTAATACGGTACCATGGAGGTTAGAATCAAAGAATATGTATTGTAAAGAAGGAAAGCCTCTCTGCAACAGACGTGGCTCCGTTCCATCATAGAGGGATACAGCTGTGCATGCGTCATATATCTGTCGCTAAAGCTCGAAACCGGTGTCGAAGTTCGAAGGTCACGTTATCAAGAGTTCATAAAATAAATATCATTTAAAATTTCAAACAAACGTGCCACGCACATCGAGATGTTTTTGTCTCAAACCGCGAGCAACGTGAACACTATGTCAATAAGCATTTATCGCAAAAATGAAAATAACGTGGTACACACGTCGCCTAACAGCGAGATTGTTTATTTCTCGAGTTACAGCTCTGGATTGCACTCGCAGATGTGGATCGGCGTAAATGAGATACTTTACCTCTTGCTATATTGTAGTGCACGGCACCGCAACTGTGAACTTTAGTCTTAGCGCAAGTGGTTAAACTCTAAAGGAAAAGAAAATATTTTAATTATTATTAAATTAATTAATATTATTAAAATAAAAAAAGAAAATATTTTTTGGCGCAAGTAAATTAATTCATGATTAGTTATTTTCAGGGAAAAAAAAACTACGAAAATCCGTTTTTAAAATTATTGCGAAAAATTCAAGAAGAAACGTCCTTTGATAAAACGTTTCTTCTTGGATTTTTCGCAATAATTAAAAACGGATTTTCATAGTTTTCTTTTTTGTCAAAGAACGTTTCTTCTTAATACGTGTTTCTCAATTTCCTGTACGTAACGTCGCTGAACACTGGTAGTTTGGTCCGAAGTTCGAATCCCGCGAACGGGCTGGCTGCATGGGTGTTTTCGTGGTTTTCCCCATGTGTAACGTGTATACGAGCCAGTTTCCCTTAAAAAGTCCTCCACGAAGGCATCCCTCCCTTAAGGCAGATAGCCCTCGAGTGCTTTGCCGTAATCTAATAAACCAAACCAATTTCCTGTACACATCGCGGAGAGGGAAATTCTGGCCGCCAGGTTCCGTCGCCAAATCCCTTGGCAAATTCTCCTCTCCGATTTCTAGTGGGCGTAATAGCATTACGTCTGCATGGAACCTTTTCTTCTCTTATATAGATGTTCTTTGGTTAGAACACAGAGTATAATGATACGGAGTACTTTGGTTAGAACACGTCACTATTCTCCGTAGGTTAGAATAACCTCCATGGTACGGTATACATGGTATTTGGTGGACATTGATGATGTGCAGTAAACGGGTCATTTTGGTGTTGGCGACAATTTTCAAAATTGTGCCAAGGCCTTACCATATACTAGAGATTTTACCACAAAAGCTTTTAAACCTTTTTTTTTTTTTTTTTTTAATAAATACCTTGCCATTGCAGTTGCAGTAAAATAAAAAAATAGTAATCAGTCATCTATTCTAATTCAAATTTTTAAGTAATTATCTTTATTTTTATATATTCGTATAATTTATGTTGCTTCTTCCCTCTAAATTTATTATTAGTAAATAATATTTCCAAATTTCAGGAAATTTTCTCTGGCATAATTTTGAAATTAATTCTAGCAATATGATGACATACCATCACGAAATTTAATGCACATATTTTTTCCATTTGTATGCTGCAAAATAAATATAAAATACATCAATTTATTAAAATAGATTTCTTTCTTTCGTTTAGCTGCAGAATGTCTGCAAAAAAAGCCTTATTTTATTTCAGATTGGGAAGATTCTAATCTCAATCTTCAGTGGAGAAAACAACAACTATGTGTTTTCAAGTGTTAAGGTGCCTTTTAAGAACATACCTCACACAAATTAAATTTACTTAAAATCTAACCTATTTAGCATTGCGTTGTGATTTATAAGGACCAATTAGCCTCGTGTTGAACTGGTGACGATCATGAGTAATAATTAAATAAAACATGCATTTGTTATCCAATGTATATATCTTAAATTTTATTAAGTTTCTTAAGTGGAAAAGTAAACAAAATTATCAAAGTATACCAAGAATAATTAAGAATAAATGTCTTCTGGGATTTATTGAATAATTAAGTGAATTTGCTACACAATAGAAGTAATACCATAATTAATTTACCTCTTAGCACAGCCAACGTACATTACACGAATAGACTGAAATTTTCTTGAAACACACCTGGAAAATCTGGAAAAGTCAGGGAATTTCATTCTCCTGTTTGAGTGGCAACCCTTTAATGAGGTTAAGATGCTCTGTGTTATTTTCAACGCAACAAATTATGCCAGTGGAGAAGTGGTACAGAAATATTTTATCTAAAATCAGATAAACCATAATTTAACATGTTTAACTGAGGAGGGGATAGTTCATTTAAATTACTTTTGTTTATTAATTTTTAATCTTAAAATCAAATGTAAATATAGTGTGCTTTTTCTTATTTTTAAGAGTGGCTTCTGTGATATTAAAAAATCAGTAAGCAGTGGTATCCTACGTTGGTTTGGGGGTTGGCATGTAAATGATGTTCTTTAAAGAATTGTCTACTTCTAATAAAAACACATTATAGTAATATATAAAAAGAAAACTTTATTAAATAAAATTAGTCATAAGAAACCTTAGCGCATTCTACCAAAGCATAACAACTCTCTCTAGATGCCAAATACATCTTTATCTCATTCTTTTACAATTTAAGAAAATATCAATGTTCCAAAATATTAAAACTTAAAATTATACTTAATAAACAAATACTATCATCCTAGCCGAGATTAAAAACTTTTGCTTGACACCAAAATCTGATTGCTTATGTATATGTTAGGAACATTTCCAATGATAATATATAATCACCTTTTAAATTTGTCAAAACAAAGCAAAAAGTAAATTTGTGGAAACAAAATCGGAGTTCAGAATGAATCATGTATCTGTCAGAGAAAATATCTCATAGAGTATAAAAGAACTGTACCTAAAGCATACTAAAATTCTGCTGCTTAAATTATGAGCTAAGGGAGGGGATTAAGTAAAATTAACAACAGCATTTTCAGGGTAATGTTAGAGATGAGTGAAATATTAAATTCAGGAAGAGATTAAAAATTCGAAAATAAAGCCTTAGTAATTAAGTACAGTTTACATGAATAGAGATGAAAACCAAAGGAATTAACATTAAAAGGGAGGTGGGATGGCTGTGCAGACACACTTGTTTTTTTTTTTAGTCATATTTTCTGTACAGCTGTTAGCTGTGGTGCTGTTCCATATCTTGAAAAAGTAACCATCTTGTGTTGAATAATTTAAAAATCTTTCGTGATTGTTTCAGATTAAATAAAGGAAAATTGTATTGACAATTTGTCCTCCAGAGAAAAATTTATGTTGATTTATCTTAATATCATCATAAATGAAGATTTTTTTCTTCTTTTCGTGATAATGGTGACTTCTGTTCAGAACTTTTGGGTTCATTTGCAGGTTCATTGTGAAAACCATGTTTCATCCTTCATAACAATTGATTTTAAGATATTTTCTGATTTTGTTTGAAAAATGTCTTTTGTAAACATGATCATGTGTTTGTTATCAGAACAAAGAACTTGACATAAACCCAAAATTAACTTTTTTGTTGTCTGAGTCTTCCATTAAAATTTAACTGTTTCCTAATTAACACCAAACTTATCTGCCAAGTAATGATCTTATTCTAATTATACTTTTGACTTTTTCTCAGTGAGTTTCTTGTTCAACAGAATTCAGATATCCAAGCCTAGCTTTATATTAAATTGTTTCAGAATTTTACTTCCATTTCAGAATTTTACTTCCCATCTCAGCATCTTTGCACAAGATAAAGAATTATCCTATATGCTTATCTCACTAATTCAAGTCTAAGTAGTATTTTTCCTGAGTTAATCAAAATTTAATGTTTTTTCTTTGCTCCCTGCTCTCTGCATAAGTAGTAACTCTTCTCTTTTTTTTTTTTCATACCCCCTTCACTAATGGAATGAAATGGTTTTTCATCAAATTTGTGGGTGGAATTGGAATGTTGCCAGATTATAAATGAAGGTTGTGTGGTTAGATGATATGCATTGCTTAACCCTCTGTGCTCAATTTGTGGAATGAAATCACTTCAAAAAAAATTTTTTTTTGCATATTTTAAATGTATATTAGAGAATTGAAATATGCATTTTTCTTTCTAGAAAAGATTTTTTATATAGATTTTTATCATGAAACTAAGCTGTCAGAAAAACCAATTTCAGATGTTATCACAAATTTTTTTTTTCAATAAATTTCAATTGAATGACAGTTAATTTCTTTTTATTACATAATATAAAAAGTAAAATGTGTAAAACTTCAGAAAATATAATGCAGATTCATGTTTATTGCAATTTTTTTTCCTATTTGCGTCTTTCGTCAATAACCGAACATTTCTAGCAGCCATTTCTGATTAGAAAAAAGTGCCAGTGAAGTTAGAGTTGTAAATACCAAGTACCTTCAAATGCAGCAGTTTAGTGGATGACTAATGACATCTGTTGGTCAAAACCTAAATTAAACGTCTAATATTGTATATAATTTATTTACTGGTTAAATGGTGAAAAGGTAGGATGCACTCCTCAATAAAGGAAGAAAAACACATGCCCACAAAAATTGTAGAATAAGCAAATTTTGCTACATTTGAGTTGCCCGTGGAGATCATGAGATGAGAAGCCAGAGGGTTAACCAATAGTATTTTTATCTTGGCCTTAAAATTAATCTCTTTCTTTAATGATCAAGCTGTGTGTATATCTATCTGTGTGTCTGTATTTATGTACACTGGTTTGTGTATATACATACTGGGTGATTCATAAGTGGCAGAAAAACTAAGAATCCAATAATTTTAAAAAGTATAGACAATAGCTTCATGCAGTATTTCATATAAATGGTCAAAGATATGTTTTTAATAAACCAAATATAAATTATCTGTTATAATTTAAGTCCGAAATAAAACTGAAAAAATATAAATTGTAATAACATATAGTGCTAGATAATATTGTAGAACTTAGAGAGAAATCACCATTGTGATCATCCGATAGTTTGTTTAAGACTGTCTTAAGTAGTTGTAATTATATGATTCCCCCTCTGTTTAACTTATTTGTAGCTTGAAAAATATTTCTTTAATTTATATATATTTTTAAAATTGAGTCCTTATGAAAATTTAAGTTTTAACATATTTTTACTAAAAAGATATCATAGTAACTCATAGTTCAAAAATCTATTTCATTTTATTAATTTTTAAACTTAGAATTATGAGTTTATCCTCTCATCAAGAGGTGCCTCAGCTATACAGTTTTTTTTTTTTTTTTTTTTTTTTTTTCAACTCTATGTTATACATTGTAAATAAATTTTGTCACTTTTTCCTAGAAATAATTTCTTTTAACTGAGAATGCTTTCTTATTTTAAATATTTTTCAGTAGTTTTTATTATGCAACTGTTTATATATAAAAAGTAAACTTTTTTTTTTTTTTTTTAACTTACTTTCATAGGTTCTGTGGTTGCAATACACTCTCAACTGTGGACATACCCTTGTATACAAAGCATGTGCAAGTTTTATTTCTTGGAATTTCGAGCTTGTTTGTGATATGGAAGATTTTGGCACATTAGAGACTGATGTTCTTGTTAGCTTCTTGCAGAAATCTGATCTGGTCATTAGTGATGAAATTTCAGTTTTCCAGTAAGTAATTGAGTTTTTTTTAGCTAGCTTATTTATATTCAATGATTCTGAACTCTTCAAACTTAGTAAAAGAAAATCAAGTTTTTTTTTTTTTTTTTTTTTTTTTTTTTAAACTTGTGGATAATCAATTTTTTCTGTACAGAATTCTGGAATTTGGGTTAAATTTCACTGTGAAGAAGCACAAATCTTATCAACATAAGGAGCATTCAAAATAGTAGCTAACTTCTGATGAAAGGATTTTTCATAAAATATGTCAAGTTGGTTAATAGTTAAGTTGTCTAAAAGCATTATTGTGCTTTCTTATTTGGGACAATCAGCTGTAGGAACTTTCCTGCTGGATTTAGCACTAATAGACACAATTTTTCTTCACCCTTCAGTAGAAAGTTGCATGTTTCAACAATTCAAGTTATCATCATCAAAATTTAATCTATATGGTTCTTATAAACCACGCTCAAATCATGCATGCTCAGTGGTGGACAATATGATCTTCAAGACATGCCAAGTGCCCGTTGCCTGCGGGCATTTGTTCAGTCTAGATAGTGTTTACCTCTCGAGAGACTTAGTGCAAGCACAAAATGCTATCAAATTTGTTGTTGGACTGAGGAAATTGGATGTGGAGACATTGGCCATGATTCTCCAAGTGTTAAAGATTAAAAGCATGTCACAAACTGCAGCTTTCAATTTTATTCTGGTGAGGACTATAAAAAGAAGTTAAAGATTAAACTCAAATTAAATGGTTAATTAATCTTACAATCTCTTTCATAAACATTTATCTGTTGAACTGTCAATGAGTATTTCTAAGTGCTTCATAATCTGTTTTACTTTTTCTGGGCAATCTCTCTTTTCATGCCATATGCAAATGTGTAATTTAGATCCTTATTTTCTGCTGTTTGAAATGCTTTCTCTATTTTTACATCTCTAGAAGTGCTTACAATGTAAGTAGCTCTCATTTTAAAACTCCAATGGGGAGAACTGTTGAAGGATAGTTAAGATTACTAATTTTCAAATTATGTGTTGATTGATTTTTGCAGTATTTCATTGTAACCATGAGTTTTTTTACCCCCTTTTGTGCCACAGAGCCATCAGGAGAGATCTTAAATTTGAATGGAAAAGGAAGTATTTTATATATAAACAATGTTGGTGCAAAAGAAGAGCAACTTCACTGTTGCTAGAATTTTTGTATTCAAATGCAACTCTATTCTAGTTATTAAATCAGTAACTTGCTTATGTTATGTTAAAAAGTTATTTTAATGGAAATGTTCAATAATTGTAAAATAAATGCTGTTATTAAACTGGATTTTTATATGGCATTTAAAATACTTTTTGACTAATTCTTAGTTCTTTCTCATACGAAAAAGTTAATTCAAAACTTATATGTATTTTACAGATACATTGAGCAGGATGTGTCATAAATTCAAGCAAACTTAAAAAATTCATAACAGCAGAAGTAATGCTCAAAAAAAATTTCAGTTTGCACAAATGTGATCAGAGGTATATTGGATATTTTTCCCATTTATAAAAAAGAATGATTCCAAAAGTAAGTGAAAGAGGGTACTCATATGTCATATTGAGATGTTTTATGCAAATCTGGCTACAATAAAACACCTGGCTGGAAGTGGATTCGTCATTCAATGCTGGCAGCATACTATCATTACCAGATTGAGCATTGGTAGTTAACCTTTTTTACAAGCATATTGAATCCACAAGTACTGCATTGCAAAAGTTTTGCACGAAAAAACGACTGAAGGTAAAAAAAAAGGTCTTGTTTCTTTAAACAAGATACTAAATAGGATCGTTTATCAAGTGGCAGTACACAGTCCTCAAGCACAGATTGTGTCCATATCATACAAAGTGTCATAAAAGAATGAGTAGCTGAGACATCGACAGAGAGTAACAGTGTTCATGAAGCTGAGAGAGTAACAGGAATTCTGGAATAATTGATTCAATGTATTCTGCACGGAATCTTGAACCTGTATCCATACAAAATACAGGTACTTCACCAGTTATTACTGGCAGATACAGATGAAATCCTGTATCTGGCTGGAAAACCTGTACAGTAACTGCAGAATGGTATCTTACGTGTTTGATGATCATGTTGTGCCTGTCATCACCTTCATGCAGGATGGTGCCCCACCCCATGTTACACATGAAGCCAAGACTTTTTTGTTGGAAACTTTTATTGAAGACCAAATCATAAATTGAGGTTGTAAGTTTAAGTGGCCATCACGATCACCAGGCTTGCCCCTGGTAGATTTTTGTTGTGGATACTTAAAGTCTTGTGTGTACCAAAGGGCTGTTCAGCCACTTTTGTGAAACTGAAAGATGCCATTTGACAGGCCATCAGTGGCATTGATGCCAACATCTTACAGTCAGCTGTAATAGGTATAGTTAAGTGCCTCTCTTGCCTTAATACATTGTGCTAGTGGTTGTGTTGATCATCTTTTACTTTAAATGCCTAGTGTTATATTATTGTGACATTGTCTGTTTCTGTTTGCCTGATTTGTATAAAACCTTTATGATGTAGAGTGTCACTTTCTGTCACTTTTGGATTAAATTTTTTTTAATACATTGATTAAAAAATCCCCTGTTCGTTTAATTATATTCGTGCAGACTGAAATTTTTCCAACCATTACTTTTATTATGAATTTTTGGAGTTTCCATTAATTTATGACGTACCTAGTATATGGCCAGTCTTCATTTTTTTGGCAACCTATGTGAGCAAAGAAGTTCAGAAGTTAATAAACATATTGGTTAAAACAATATTTCTTAATCTATAAAAGCAGCAAAATCCTCGAATCTTCAAAATTCTTTTTTTTTTTTTTTCCTTAGAAAAGCATATTAAAAGGAAAACTTTTGAGAAAAAAATTATGACTTTTACATGTTTTTAAACACATCTCCATTTTAGCATAAAGTAAGAAATTAATAAACAGCGTAAATTGCATAGAGTATAAAACAGAATAGTATATCTACATATATTAGATTCTTGGTTTGTATTTAACTATATAAATCATTAGATATCTAGTGCAGTGTTTCCCAAATGGTATTCCACAAACAGTCCCTGTTGTGTAATTTGAAGGAAAAGGCTAGAGGGCGCTGTTGCTCGCATAGTTGAGAAAGAATAAAGTTTGTTCATGTTGAAGGCGGCAGCCTAAGAATACACTCTGTATATAGTAATTAAAATATTGTTAAAAATGTAAAAGTGTTAAAATTAGTGAACTCACTGAACCACCATTATCTGATTTGGAAATGCACAAATTATTAGATGGTGCATCGGCGTAAATTAAGGCTTTCTGAAGATTTTAGGTGTTCGATCTAAGTGTTTCGATTTGAATTTAACAGTGGATATTTCATATTCAAGGGACAATGGAATTCCAAATAAAGGTAGGGAAATCTTAAATTAATTATTTAGTGATTATTTGTAGTAAATTAGTAAGTATTTATTATTGCTGTGTGGGTGTATTTAAATTAAATAAAATGGAAGATAAGTTAGATAGGTTGAAACGTAAATGTTCCACATTGAGATCATCTCTTACTAGGTTAATTAAAGTGATCGAAGATAAATTAAAAATTGAAGGGGAAGAAAATTCGATTAAAGAATTACAAGAATTGTTTGAATTATTAACCGAAAAGAAAAATAATTTGAGAACACTTGATGATGAAATACGAGAGTTAATTGATGTTAACTTAATTGAAGAAGATTATAGTATAAGCGAAGAATACAATGACAAATCTATAATTGCTTGTAGTCAAATTAAGCAGTTTCTAGGTGCGGTTACCGCAGTACCGCCAACGAGGAATCCCCAAAGTTCTGATTTAAACCAGTCTGGTGGTAATGGAATTTTGCATGTAAGTTCCAGTTCTAGTGGGAATAATATGCTGAAGTTACCAAAATTAATAATTGATAAATTTTGGGGAGACCCCAAACAATGGAATGAATTTTGGAATAGTTTCAAAAATTTGATACATAAAACGAAACGCTTTCAAAAATACAAAAATTTGCATACTTAGAAACATTCTTAATGGGACAAGCTTTGAATGTTGTGTCAGGCTTTGAGTTAACAGAAAATAATTATGATAGTTGTGTGGCATCACTAAAGGACAGATATGGTTGAAAAGACATGATCATTAATTCATTCATGAATAAAATTCTCAATTTAGAAGCCGTTAAAAATTCTGCTAACGTAAAGGCTTTACGTAAATTATATGACGAATTAGAAGTTTCGATTCATAATTTGGAAACTTTAGAAGTAACTTCTGGCTCATATGGGCATTTACTAATTCCAATATTATTAAAATTAATTCCGGACGATTTAGTTTTGGAATTTAATCGGCAAAGAGAATCGAAAGATAAAGTTGAAGTTTCGGTAATTAATCACAATTTCTTAAAAACGGAAATAGAATGCAGGGAAGTTTCAAATCTAGTGTTAAATGAAAGGCAAAAATTCCTGTGCCTCCGCAAGTCGATCAATCAAAATATGAAACTAGAAAATATGTAAAAAATACACCCACGGCTGCATTTCATACTGCAGTTAACCGAAAATGCATCTTTTGTGATAATTTGCACGAGTCATTTAAATGCGAAGTGAATGTTTCTGATAAATTAAAGAAACTAAGATCTGAAAACCGCTGCTATTCTTGTTTCAAAAAAATTTCATACATAAAAAAAGTGTAGAAATAAAACTAAATGTAATAAATGTGGCGGTATGTATCACAATGAATCGATTTGTACTAATAAATCCCCTGTAAACAAAAAGTCGGAACGAGGTTATTCCGGAAAAATGAAACTGAATCTCTGACTTTGAATTCTGAGGAAAGAAAATAAAGTTCAAAACTTAAAATTGATTGCTTCTGTTCCTCAAGGTGATGATAATAATAATAATAATGACTGTAATGCCAGGGAAATATTATTACAAACTTGTACAGTTTATGCTTGTTTCTAAATATAAATCAAATTTAACTAGATTGAGTCTTGATCAAGGATAAGTCACAGATCCTTTTAT